ACATAAGGATAAGGGGCTTAAGGCGGAGTCAAAAGAGGAGTTCATTCTTTCTTCTCTTGCTCCAGCCCTCTGGGTAAGTTACCGCTGCTGCTGGGGAAAGAAGCTAAGATCAATCAAAGCGGGACAATAGCAAAAGTCATATGATGGCTGCCTATTCCACTTTTAAGACCGGTTAAGAGGTCTAGACGTGCAAAGATATCTCCGAGACGGAAAAGAGACTCCCCCCTCTTCTGATCAGGACAACTGGGCTATAGCCAGACTACGTTGGTAATGAATGGATGGAAATTACACGCACTAGAAAACCTAAATTAGTTGATTAAGGCATTTACCGATCTTCGAATACGTGAGGAATTGCCATTGGTTGAGCTACTTTATATACTATTGTCTCAGGTAAGACTTGACTTGACTCCCTTCTTTAATTCTACATTCTTGAATCTGGGCATTTCTCTTTTCATTCGCTTTTCGAGGGCTTCCCTCTCCCGATGGTCGAGCCACTTCGTTTCGTCGACTCAACCATGACTTTCTAGGCATTTTAGTAAAGAGGTCAAGGACAACCTCACTCAAGAAAGCTTTCCTAAAAGAAAGAAATTCTACCACAAGACACATCTTAGGATTGGTATTTCCATTAACGCGATGCCTCAAAAAGTTCTTACCGCTGAAAGAGTAAATTAGTCCGGTACGCTCGCTACACAAGAAAATCAATAAGTTAAGTAAGGGTCTGGTGATTGTCCTTTCCGGCTTTACCTTCTATTTAGGAGTCGCTGCGGGCATCCGGGATCGGTCCCGCTACGCTAAGGCTTGTTTCCCAGAAAAGGTTCATTGATTTGAGATTACATAGGTCATCTCCATAACAAGAGTCAGTAGGAAAGTGAAGGAGTGGCCTTAGTCTATCTCATAGGCCGAGAGCAAGCAAAGCCAAGGACAATCTCGCTCAAAAGAGCAGCAGGAAACATCCACGCGAGGATATTGAACTCGCAGCACCTAATGGAATGCGCCCCTGCGGGCGGAAAACTACCTTAATACAATATATTCTATCTTTTCTTGGGAATACTGCTTATAACAGTGGCACAATGGTTCCTAAAGTAAAGTACGAAAGCCATTCCGTTCGTTACAGTAGTCGGTATCTCCAGGGGAGTCCAGAGCGTGTCAGATTAGTGCATCTCGTTCCAGCGCAAGCTTTCCAAAGTAGAGCATAAAAACCACTTGTTAATTACCAAGTCAAAGGTCAATGGGAAAATGAGAGTTGAGTCTAGTGGCTAACTCATAGACCTAAGAACAATAGATACATACTTGATGAAGCGAGTTGCTAGATAAAGACTTCCAAGCTCTCGGGTAAAGACTTCGGCGCATACAAAATGATCGATCAGAATGCATATCAGTAGCTCCATGGGAATCGGGGGGTCGGTAGATCGCTCCTGCATCCCTTAAAGTTCGCTTTACTTGGTCGAAAAGATCGCAGTGTCAAGTCCGCTCTTGACAAGCAGTCCCTTAGAAAGGATCCGGTAATAGCACTTCCGCTGGCAGCTATCATATATAAGCTATCCGCAGAATCTTAGACTGATGTTTCCCTCTTTTCCACATTGGACACTGGAAGATGGGTTCAATCGACGGGTTGAGTGGTTGTTACCTCGGATCTGTTTCTTTCCAGTACAAGCACTTGATTGTTACTCGTTGGTTCCTTTTTGGGCTTTGCTTGAATCTAAACAACTCGGGAGTGAAAAAGGAGAATTTACCTGCCATTGGACTACGAACAAGAACCTTTTGAGCACACCATTGGTGGTATTAGCCGCAAATAGGATTCGAACCTACGTCCCCGTACCCCTTAGATTAGAGTTACCCAGTGAACTTCCGTTGTTCCGTTGCGGCCCTGTCGAGACACTGTGTGCCATTCGTTGACCATTGATCCGACCTTTTATAAGAAATTTCTCAATCGATCGTGAAAAGAGCAACCAACTCTTTAATAATCCACTGATCTAGACTTCATTCGGTTAGTTTAGAGTTGGTGGAACATCCTTCTTTTTAGAAGTATTTGGTCGTTATCCCGACGGGAGAGAAGAGTCAGTTAGCCCGCCTATTTATTCATTTATTCATTTATTGGCGGGAGCATTCCTACCTGTTTGAAAGAGAGCCAAGTCTCGAAAGCAGCCCATTAAATTCGATTATTTTACTTATTTATCCGTTTTTATCCGCTCCTTTTTCAGCTACCATACCAAGACTAGAGGAGAAGGGCAAGTATTTATATTTGCTTTATGGGATATATAATTGATCTCTTTTTCGTATGTTTTATGATTCGTATATGTAGGGATATGGGCGCCATCCTTCTCAGTTAAATGGACTGCTCTTCTCGCTGTTTCTGACTCAATACGTATAGAATAATTATAGCTAGTCTTCCTACCCCCTTCCCTGGCCGTGGCTGGGGCGAATCGACGCACTTATACTATTCCGGGTAAAGAGTAGGGAGAAAGGCTCAAACAAATCCGGAGCTTTCCTTAGGGGATGAACCCGTAAAGGCAGATAACGCTCCACAACACCACAAGAGGAAGGCTGTCCCCCAACACCTCTCTCCTCCTCTGCTCACCAAGGACCTAAAGCCGGCTAGAAAGCAGTAAGCTATTTAATTAAGTAGGCTCGAGATGGTTTCTAAGTGCCTCTCTTAGTCTGAGGACATCTTATCCAAAGCCAAAGCCCAAACCTAATCGACCGTCCTTGCCTTTCCTATCCTAAGACAAGGTAGCTGTAGCGCTCTAGCTCTCGTTCCCTAGCTGCTAAAAGTAAGAGCCACCATTCCTTAGCACAAGCCTAAGCGCGATAATAATTCCTTCAGAAGGAACCTATAATCTTGAGAGAGATACCAAAAAACGAAAGATTCGTACCTAATACGGGGGTGGGGGGGGTTCTGTGGAGCAGTCTGCTCAAGGATGTATCTCCAAATATCTTTCTCAAACCTCAGTTCATTCCCGTGCTAACTAACTATACTACTATATAATTAGAATTCTTAGGCCCCAAGCCGAATGTACCTCACAACAAGCAACTCCCCTGCTTGACGGGCGACCCGTCAAGCGCCGACGGGACTCGCGATCGTGGTCGAATGCCTTGCAACGAAGTGGCACGCACACCCCAACCTACTATCCCGCCCGTACGATTCCATCTTCTGGTCAAGAGCTTCCCTTACTTGGGAGTATTTTAGGAGTATTGCCCTAGCTAAGAGCTAAGAAGAAGTAGTAGCGAATACAGAGGCAGAAAGAAGACCCTTGTTACTGAGCTCCCCCTGAGCGCAAGCAGCTCCCTGACTTTCTGAGTTATTTCCCTCCGTTCCCTTTCAAAGCCGGAATGGTAGCCTTTTTCGGGATCTTTGCTATCCCATTGGTCGATCTGTCTTTCAATACTTCCATCTCCAAGTTGAACCCATTCCTTCACTTATTCAGTGAAGCACTTCAAATTCCTCATTACCTAACCCTAAATAGGCTTATTTTCACCTCGATTTGGTTAAGGCCCGTATACGACCTCCTCTTCCCCTTCCACCAACTGCTACGCTTGCAGAGGACGCCATTGCCATTGCTAAGTCTTGGTTGCTTTTATTAGTCCGAAAGGAAAGAAAGGCGTAACGATCTGGGCACTGTAGCTGTAAAGGTTCAATAGAAATTCTAGCCGCTGGGCTTTCGCTTGATCTTCTTTCCGGATGTTTAAAGCTGGACTTTGGCGAGTCTTCTTATTTAGAGTCTTGGCCGTACTACTTGCCTGCTGGCTAATGGCTTTCCTTATTGGGATTTCTTTCCTATTGCTTGTCTTCCTGGTCAATCAAGCTTTCGAGTGACTCTTGGTTGCGGGGCCAGGGAAGGGACCGACTATCTACTTACCCGCGAAAGGGAAAGTAAGAGAGGAAGAATGCGCGACTGGCTATCGAGAAAAAAGACATTCTCTGCCCTTCTTTCTTCACTCTCGTTCTAGAAGGCATTCCGTCAAGCAGCATGGGATGAAGACGATTATGTGCAAGACAATTTTCGGCATAAGGCACTTCACTGCAAATAGCGTAGCGTATATAATATAGAAAGGATGGAGAGTGTTAGTTAGTCTTTCTCTTTGCCATCCGATTCTATAAAGCCCATCTCTTGCAAGAGACGATTGGGGGGAAAGAGAAAAAAAAAGAAGACTTCCTTGGAAGAGGATTCTCAACCAGCAGATATAGCAGGGGATATCTTAACTATAGCAAAGAGAGGATTCGATGCTTTTTCTCTTAGATGTGGCATTACCCGGTCTTTGCAAGAAGCGTCAGGCTGTTCCTAGCGGGCGGGAGTAAACATGGTTTTATGGCCCTTTTCCACTTGCCGCCCAAAATGCTTGTGGGGATGAATTTCCGCTAATTGTTTCCTTTCTCGTAGTACACTGAGGCTGTTCTTGAAGGTGCGCTCAGCGTTCACGGAGTGAGAGGTGCTAAATAAGGGACGCTAAGACTAGAGGAAGAGTACGGCTAAACATCCTTTGTGTCCTGTTGAATGATGGGCCTTAGAGCAGTGACGAGTAAGTGACGTGCAAAAGAAAAAACGTACCAAGCACCTGCGTCCAAGCACAGTCTTGTTGATGACTTTCCCTCCGCCCCTATACTCTCGAGGAGTACGCGTTTATGATAGAGAGTGCATCCGTAGCATGCAAAAAAAGATAAAGAAAAAAACGACATTAGAAAAAAAATTAAAAAAAATTAGACCGCATATCTGGTATGAGTAAGGACAGTATCCCTTTTTTTCCTTCTTTCTGATGTCTATCGATGGAGGGGAATCACTAATGTCTCCCTCCTTAAGTTGTCCATTCTGACCTTACTTATCTCCACATATAACTAACTTCCGCTATTGTCATCGCTTTTTTATCCATTCTCTTGAATCTGGCTGGCTGCTATCTTTCTATTCAGCAGGATGGTATCTCTTCAGGGACGTGAAGGAGTATTGCTCTTAAAGATAAGCTAAATACCTCGGGAAAAAGACCGATTACCCGGTACGGTCGCTTTAATGCAACCATTCACGATTGAATCGAAGATCGGGACCAATAGCATCTATGGTATTATCGAAAGAGACAAAGACGGCCAGGACCAAGAACAGTCTCTTTCCTGTGCTATCAAGAACGAAAAGAAGGACGGGAAGGAGCAGGAATTGCGGGATGCTATAGAGATAGATGGCTATGAGACTAGTCCAAAGAGTCATCACTTTCTAAAGCTTCCTCTCCTCCTTTAGGCTATGGGCGAAGGTTTGAACTAAGAGGTCTTGGCTTCTTTCCCCTGACACACGCATACCACTGTCCTGTACACTAAGTCAAACTAGCTCTAAGACGAGTACGGGCCCTCATTCCTACCTCCCCCTATCTCTACTTCTGCTAACGACCGCTAGAATTGGGATATCGAGAAAGAGGGTAGACCGTAAAGGGTTCAACAAAGAAAAGCAAGAAAACGTAAGCCCAAACGGGCTTACGTTTTTCAACTGCATCGTACCGTACTATGGAAGGGGTCCGTACCCCCTTTAGATAGATAGAGCCCCGCGCCTCCTAATGTAGAGCTAGAACTACTGCTACCGCGGAATCCGCGATCACACATGAGTACCTCGCCTTCCAAAAAGAGCGGCTACTAATTGGCACTAATGCTAATGGGGACCATCGATCAAGAAGGACTTCGGAGACTGCAATTGAATTGAGAAAAAAGAAATTGCGTATGAAATACGCCCAAAGACTCCCATGCCTTTCTTGGTTGGACCAACCAGATTTCCGAAAAGTCTTTCTGTTAGAGCAAGAAGCGGAACTACAAGTGAATCTTAATAAGTCATGATACTTTCCGTTTTGTCGAGCCCTGCTTTGGTCCTCGTTTGATGGTGCACGTGCAAAAATCCGGTGCATTCCGTTTTGTTTCCATTCCAGGCTTTCGCGACACTTCAGGTGTTACTCTTTCTTTTGTTAGGTCTCGACTTCTTCGCAATGATCTTCCCAGTAGTCATATAGGAGCTATAGCCGTTTCATTCCTATCAGTTGTTCAGGAGTGCCAGATTCAAATAAGCGAGAGTTCACGAATAAGTGTTGCGGACTAGGGTTGTAGGGCCATGTAGGTGTCTTAGGGTACTGTCTCGCTTGTTTTTTTCTTCATTTAGATAATGAAACCATTCCATTACTTACCAACCCGAAGAAATAGCTACCCTCTCTGAGAGAGAGCGGTTTTGCGGGAAAGGTTGCAGAAGGTTTGGACAAAGTTTGAAAAATGTGGGCAATTTACTTTATACCTACTAGTTTGTCTGGTTTTTGGTTCCGCAGTCTATTTTATTCGTAGCCATGCTTGGGGCGCTAGTACTGACCTATGCATTAAGGGACTACCGTGAAAAGACAGGATTGTGCGCGGAAGCTAAAGCATGATTTTGGAGGACTTTAATTAGGATACTACAGAAGACCACTCATGGACGATCTACTCGGAAGAGGGAAGTAGCTGATTGGTATCGAATCCAAATTGCGTAGACTATATTGAAATGTTATCTGATGTGGCAGAAGGCTTTGTGTGAGCCGACGACAAAAACGTCAAACGCCCCGCCTTACTACAACCCGATTCCTATAAGATCCCCGGAAACGAGATTTTGTTTCAAAAAAAGCCAGGGGGTGAAACCACGTTTCAGCGGGCCAAAAAACACGGAAAACAACCCTTTTTTCAAAGATTCCCGTCTCCTCTCCCATTGTGTTCGAGCTCGTTTTAACTCTTCCTCTTTAAAATTCCATTTTAGTCTTTTTTAGTTGCCTCAGAAGCGAAGAAGCTACACTGAGATCAGGCGTTAAGAGGTATTTATATCCCCCCCATAAATGCAATTTTCTATCGTGCTCAATAAAGCTCTCAGTCCGTTTTCGGGAGACAGGGAGAAAGGCTTTTTTGGCTGTAGTAGGTTCTGAAAGAAAGGAGGGAGGAACAACCAACAAGTAACCAACTCCTTCACTCACTCACTATGTAGCGCAAGGAAGTTGCGAGCTTGTAGGAGTGTAATGATTAGCAGCTTTTCCCTTAGGCTGTTAGGTGCTAGAGACGGAATAAATGAAGAACTTTCCTTCCGCGCATGCTCTTTTCGAGAGAGCGTTCACTTACTTAAGAGCAAGGAAGTTATGGAGCTAGGAGTTAAGTATGTTAAAAATTAAAACACAGGAACCGCAGGCAAAGAACAACCACTTTCCACCCATTCAGCTCCCTCCCAGGAAGCGTTCCACGTAGCACTGGCTATGTCCTCTATAGCGCAAGGAAGGTAAGGAGATAGGAGTATAACGACTAGCTCTTCTCTTTTAAGCTGCTTTAAAAAACGGTTAGAAGGATGGGGGAGCACACCCCATACCACGTACCACATTAAGAAGACCTTGAATAGCTGTCTTCCCTCCGTTCGTGTTCCTTGCCAAGGCCACTCGGCTCGCTGTTAGTCATAGGCTTCATGCTTGATGCCAAGGAACAACGAGAAAGCAGGCAACCGCAGGTGATGAGATAATTTCATGTTTTACCTGCGCAACAGATGAAGGACTAAACTCCCTCCTAGCAATTAAGGGGCATTTCGCTCATAAACCCACTATTTTTGCTTTTTGCTTGTTTGTCGCGCTTAGATAGATTGTGGAGTGTCACTAGAGCTTTGTGCGCTCCTAACTCCCTGGAACTCAGCATCCACCGCGCACGCTCGGTTACTGGGCTCGCTGCCTCACCTTCGGCGGTAGAGGGGTTTCCTTGTCGTCGTTTAAGCGTTGCTTCTCATCGCCACAGAGCGGGCAAGCTAGACTCAGGGCGCTAAAGAGACGGCATAGGGAATGGGTGGTGTGACGATGCAAAAAAGTCCTTCTTGGGGTAGTTGGGTTGCTGCGTGTCAAGGAAGAGTCGCTGAGACAGTAAGCCTCACCCCTCTCCTATCGGTCGAGCAAGGGTATAACTCCCTTTGGAGCCTCACTCAGGAGGCATCGCAAGGATTTTTTTTTTTTTTTTTTTTTTTTTTTTTTTTTTTTTTTTTTTTTTTTTTTTTTTTTTTTTTTTTTTTTTTTTTTTTTTTTTTTTTTTTTTTTTTTTTTTTTTTTTTTTTTTTTTTTTTTTTTTTTTTTTTTTTTTTTTTTTTTTTTTTTTTTTTTTTTTTTTTTTTTTTTTTTTTTTTTTTTTTTTTTTTTTTTTTTTTTTTTTTTTTTTTTTTTTTTTTTTTTTTTTTTTTTTTTTTTTTTTTTTTTTTTTTTTTTTTTTTTTTTTTTTTTTTTTTTTTTTTTTTTTTTTTTTTTTTTTTTTTTTTTTTTTTTTTTTTTTTTTTTTTTTTTTTTTTTTTTTTTTTTTTTTTTTTTTTTTTTTTTTTTTTTTTTTTTTTTTTTTTTTCCCCCCTCACAACAAACAAATCAAACCAAGCAAAATACAATCACACAAGGACGTGAACAGCTACATCTCACAAAGTCAGAAAGACGCAACGGTAGTTGAGGCCTAGAGCAAACCGGCGCATTTAGTGTGCCACAAATGACAAATTTGCACCTCACAAAAAAAATACAACTCACCACCCACAAAATCAACTTCTCAGAAGAGTGAACTCCCTCTCCATCGTCAGAGGGGACTCCGAAGTCAGTCAGTTCAACGATGGGTGGCCATCGCGAGGACCTTCTTTTGCGTGTGGGCGACTCCACCTCTTACAAAAGCGTCTTACGGATACCACCCGAAGCGCGAAAAAGAGCTACTTGCTACTTTGCTTTCTCTGGACTCCTTTCTGCTGCCCGACCCCCGCGAAGGGTTTCCCCTTCCATCCTAGACAATCCATTAACCGGGCCCTAGCTCTGTAACAGCATTAATCGGTCTCACCACGGATACCATAGCTCGCACGCTCCCCAGGAGCCCCTGTGTTTTTTTTATGGACACTGGCCGGCTATTCTCGAGTTGGGAAGTTCGGCGCTCTTTAATTGGTTTGCCCTACCCTTATAAAAAGCGGGATTGGTTCTTGAGGTTTCACAGAGAGGCAAAATCTTCAGTGAGTGTCTGGGTTTCCACCAAACGGTGCCACTGACTTTACCCGCCGTTGTACTTCGACCGATTGCCATCTCTTTCTCTAGAGTTTAAAACACTCACCGTGGATGACCAATCAACCGGGCCTTCATACCCCTCACAAAACCCTTAGACCTTCACTCATATGACACGCCCACTCGCTCAAGAGCCAAGATTCAGAATAAGGGTATAGGGCGCCCCAACTTACAAAGGCCTCCCCTCATTCTGAAACGGACCCTTTGTAACCACACACAAAGCCCACCTTTACATATCCCAACAACCCCCACCAACTTCGTCCCCTTCTTATCACTTACACCACCTTGCCATTGATTGCTCTTCACCACGCCTAATAACACGCGCCTAAAAAACCCAACACCATCCCTCGGCCATCCAAAAGTAATTTAGCAATCAACACTAAAAATGAGCCAGATGTTATTTTTGCGTTTTTTTTGGATTTGTTTATAGACAAACATGCCCGGTGTAATAGGTTTATTTTATTTTTTGTGCTACACGCATGGTCTATTTAAATATTCTCTAAGACGGAAATCAATTCTAAATTCTCTATACAACTGCCGGTGGCGAGAACTGAGAAACTGTAATTCCGGCCTTATGGTGGAACGCGAAAAAGTCACAATCACGAAAAAGTTAGGAGAGCCTTTATGGATCTGTCACTACAAAGGGGCACGTGAATAGGACTAATGAATCGCGCCTACACCGTTTGCTCGATTGTCAGTTTGCCCCACACTGTTAAGTGTGTTGGAAGGACTGTACAGTTGCTATATATCGCAGATCTTTCACTCATTTTCAGGAGGACTCACGTCATGGCCTGTTTGGTATTCAATTTCTTTGAATCTAATTTTTTAAACTCAAAAACAGAATTTGAGTCCAAAACAAAGAAAACAGGTTTGGTAGTCCTATTTTTAAAAACTGAACATCAAGAAACAACTCTTAAAACACACCAATTACTCTAAAAACAAAAAAATATCTGTTTGTTTTCAATTTTTTTTTTTTTTTTCCTACCAACACAACAGGTTCTTCAAAGTTTTAAGATTTGAAACAGAGTTCAAGTCTGACTACCAACAAGTGTTTGACATCTTAAAAATGATTTAAGCATTCTCTGTTTTTAAGAAAACATCAAGATTTTAATTGTTCCCTATTGAATAGGAGACCAAACGCCCCCCCTAAGTTTCAAATATTATGGAAATAACTGGGACTAAAGGCATAATTCACTGTGTAAGAGATGAACGGAATAAACCGCAACTACATTGTTTACAGGGAAGAATAATATGTCATTAACACAAGTCATTATTTTAATCGTAATGTATCGTTGTGGTGAAGCCCCCGCTCCTCAAAAATGCATTTATAAACAACGAGTCAATTTGTGTGGTAGACAGGGCAAACTGCCGTTTTGAAGTACCTTGAAACCAATCACACAGACAATTTCCAAGAAATACAAAGACTCGGTGCGCTACCAGTAGCACTCAAGCTTCAGTCTCATGTCAAAGGAATCAAATCATCATGCTCCTATGAATTAGGTGGGACCTTCGAGCTTTGTGTACAGGATGTCAACCACCACTTGTAGAGTCCTTCTCCACACACAACCACCGTGTCTCTTGATTTGGAAGCCAAGAATAATAGAAACCGTTTTTTTTCCCCCTAAAACTGTTTGTAATTGGGAGAAAAAGAATGAGAATTGAGTTTCCAAGCATCACGTCCGAACTGGTTGAGTACGACCACAAACGCAATGAGGGGTTAGACCGCCAAATACCAAAATGGATACATTGTGCCTGTCAACTCACAAACCATTGGCAAGGGTGTCGCGGCCTTGGATTACATTAGTTCAAACGTGCAGGTTTGAATGCACAACATGAAATTATACCTTTGCTAAAACTTATAGAAAAAGATGTACATTCACTCCTACCATACACATTTGACCTTCAAAAGTATACGGCCTCATTCTGTACCCTATTTTAAGTGAAAATTAATTGTCCATCAAACTTTCGCAAGAATCTGTTCTGTCACCAAAATCCTTTGCCAACCCTGCCCCCAAAGCCTACTGTGCCAATATGTTGCCCAAGGATAAACAAAGGATGGGCTGACAGAAGTATATTTTCGGGCTATGGTGTGCATGACTTTAGAGGTATAGAAGTATTGAATGTAGATTAATAGGTCATTGCACGGGTAAAACTGAAACTGATATCAAATAATCTCTAGAAAAACAAAATATTTGTGTTTTTGCATAGTCTAATAGTATATAATCTACCCAAAATGCAAATCAGGTTTGACCAAAAAATTTATCAAAAAGCTATTCTTTCGTACTAGCTCAACTGTTGGTGTCAGATAGGATGGAAGGGGGTGTATGAAAATGGTCCCGGACTCGACTTTTTTGCGTGGGGGAGACAGCAAGCACTCCCTTCCCCTCCTGCATGCTGGGCGATTCTTGGCCCCCAACACATTCATCTTGACCAGAATAAATTAGCCAAAGGAAAACATCGAAGGATACATCCCCTGGCCTTTGCTCCACAGTTCCATCCAGAGTACGTTTGTTTGGTTCCCTGTCGGCTCACCATGCCCCCACTTTCTCTAGTTTGGCTCGCAATATTCTTCCTTTGCAAGACAAATCCCCTACTATTTCATAGTTGGTTACCCGCCACCGACACTATCTCCCCAACAGCTCCAACCAAACCCATCATTCCCTCCCCCTCCGGTTTCGGCTGAAGTCGCACCACCATTCCCCTTAAGCATCTCCCAATGCAGTTCCCCCTCCGCCATCCCCGATGTCGGCTCTTTCCGAACCACACCTTCTTCAGCCCCGCACCTATAACCCACACCGCCCCATTCCTGCCACACTCACCCCTCTCCCCACCACTAACCCATACCCGGACTGTCCCATTGAACCCGACGGATCTTCTCAAGCTCTACCTCTCTTTGGCGATTCCATATAAAACAGCTCACAAAACAAACCCACCACAACAAAAAAAAAAACTGACCACAAAAAGGTTGCAAAGGGATCACACAAAATGGAACAAAAGGACCCAAGCGGCTGTCGTCAAAGTAGCGCGGACGCTCGCTTCCCCGCCTTGCAGGCGCCCGTATCTATTGAAACCCCACGCTCATCACGGAACTCTTCATTGCACACCAATAGACCTTATCTTCTAGCAATCCCGCCTCTACATCTAAAAATAGTCTCTGAGCGCTCAAGAGCAGGCCCAGTTTGATGGATTGGCGCTGTTTGGAACCCGGTTGGCCGGGTGGGGGGGCGCCTGAGGGGGAAGGTATGTACCGCTAGAGGGTGTGGAATTGTCTGTTGGGGTAGGGTGCGTGATCGGCCGCGTGGCCTTGGCCTTGCTTCTTTAGGCTGTGCTTTTTTTGTTTGGTTTTTCTCGCTCTTTCCCCGCGTCAGCAGCATCAGATTCATCGGCGGGGCGTGGGCATCGGGGCCTTGGTTCCCGGGTTATTGGTTGGAGGGCGTTAACAGGCCCCTCCAACTTTGGCCCCATTTAAGGCCCTTATTTTCTTTATTCCCTTGGCGACCATCTGAGGACCTTTTGGTGTCGGCTTATGCACACCCCCATGGAGGCGTCTTTTTCGCCGCTTGTGCGGTGGTTGGGTCGCCTTGCTCTCGATGCTTTCTCTCATCATTTGTCTTGGGCCTCAATTAGGCGGACCATGATCACCAGTCCACTTCAAACTACAAGATGCTCGCACCCGTTGCTCATGCTTCCCCATCTCAAGCATCAGCGCCCTTGCCCTTCCCTTCGCTTCTTTTACTCCCCTGCGCAGCTTTTTGTAGTGTGTCCCTGAACTTGTTCTGTTGTGTGCACCCCGAATGTGCTGTGTAAGTGGGTGCCGGTGCTGTGCATTGCGCTTATACTTATGTAAGTAGCCCTGTCGGACGGGCCACTCCTGTATCAAGGGCGCTCGACAGTCCCCACACAAAGTGAGAGCCTTCGGGCTACAAAACCAATAAGGCCTAGTGGTCGCGGCTTGTCCTGGTTCTTATTTGTCTTTGCATCTTAACCACTACGACCCGTGGTGACCTGGTCGCTTCTTTAGGATTTGTCTAGACGCCCTCTTCCCTAGCATTCTTTATCTCTTTCTTGGACGGGGTAGCTTGCTTTTGCGCGTCCGGTACCCGCTAGCTTGGGAAGGGGGCTGCTCTTATCTGCATTTCGGTCCGGTCTTTTGCCCATCGAGCCTCCTGATTCCCTCTCTGATTGCCTTCCGGCCTCAGTGGTGTTTGCAGCAATGGTGATTCGGAATTCCTACGGTGTTCGTTTCCTTTTCAATTCATTCGATTGCCCTTGTACCTACCGACCAGCACATTGCAGTCTACCGACTTCTGCCTCCCCCCCCAAAGCTGTTCCCCCCATGTGCTTCGCCGACCTTCTACGGGCTGCCGAATGCCCCTGTTTCGTCCCCCTGGCCACTCCTCACCCCCCGTCCGGTGTACTCTTACTTCGTTCTATTATGGTGTCCTTTTCCAGACTTCGAGCCTTCCTCCTAATCGCCGTCACTTCTGCCCCCTCGGCCTTCCGCCAGTCTTGCCCCCCCCCTGTCCCGCTTCCTAATCCCCCTGCACTCCCTTCCATCAAGGCTTGCTCCCGCTTGCCGACCTTGCCGCCTTACCCAACTGTGTGCCCCCCAACGTCATGCTTCACATGCCTCTACTGATCCAAGGTTACTGCACCACCCCCTGCCCCCTCAAGTCCTTTATGATCCCGCCGTGTATCTCTTTATGTCGTATCCTGCCGTTTTTCACATTACATTACGTATGCTTAAACGCTTCTCCCACAGCTCCATTCCGTAACACCCAACACCCCAGAATTGCTAATTTTACCCCTTCAGCTATCTTATCCCCGCCCTCCTTCCATGACCCACATGTCACACTAGTTAGACCACAATTACTGCTATGATTTCAGCCTCTTACTTCATAATCCCCATCCTTCGAAACCCGGCGGTGCCCAGCTCGCCGTCCTTTGGACTCCCCTTCGGAGCGGTCGCAACGCTCATTTGTTGGGCTTTGCTGCTCCTCCTAACTGTTTGTACGATCTTCCGCTTCTGCTACGTTTGCCTCTCCCACTCCTTGTCCGCTGTTTTGTGTTCCTGCACACAAGGGCTGCTGCCCCTGTCTCCCGCTGTCACCGGGTTATGTCTCGCGTTCTATTTCCGGCTGTACTCCATTCTAACTTGCGGCCGTCGTTACCTGCTCCCTTCTGCCAATTGTCAGTGCGTCTGTTAGCAGGTTGCTGATGTTCCCCCCAGCGCTTGCCCGTAACCCCTCTCTGTGGATGAGATAATCCTTCCCAACTGCCCAGTTGCACTGACCTTCTCCTTTCCAAGCATTAAACAATTGAGACATTAGTCCCTAAATTACCCATCACCTTTTGCTGCAACAATCGGTGCGGCCGCTGGACACTCCCTAAACCCCATTAAGTAGACAGATGGTCGGTGGCGCATACTGTGGGCCTTAACATCAGCACTTGCCGACTACTCAAAAAGTTCCACTGCCCCCCTCCCCCCCTGCCTCGTTCCCCCCCCCTCTCCCCCCGTCTAGTCATTTCTTTTTAAAAGGTGTGATCAACTCCCACATTTCCCTTACTGTAGTTGGCACCCTGCGCACCTTTCGCCCCTTTGCGGCCCGGTCTCGTTTGACTCTTTTTCAGTAAGTTACTCCTGCCAGATTGTCGCCTTATGGTAGTAGGCATGCCGTTCCACCACTCCCTAGCAATGATTCCCCCTTGGCCTACTTTTTCTATGCGTTTTCGTGATACCCCCGAGGTCCTTTGCGATGCAGCGGATTACCCTTCCTAAAAACATAGGTGCTTCACCAAGATCTGTCATCTCAAAATGGGTGGACAAGAATTCTTTTTTGCAGTTATGCACACATTGACCAATCTGGGCATGCAATAAAATATCTCCACATCAGTTACTAGGATGATGAAATTCCTTCCCCATCACTTCATGCTAAATACATTCACTCAATGCATTTTTGTACAAACCATACTGCCTTAACAACCATAACCTCACCCTGTACCATGCTCTTGAGCGCTTGCCCCTTCACGACATAAACCAGATATCTGCACCCACAGTCAGTTGCTGCAACCCTGACACATGTTTGTTGTACCTTCCACTTGACTCCCTATCCCTGCCTCTCCCTAGATTTTCACATTCAAGCTATGTCCCCGTCCGCTGGTCTCCCCCCTCCCCATTCGGGACAGCGACCAGATGAGCAAATCACTAATACACACCGAGCCCTAGTGCCATTATCCCTTGAACACGAAGTCTTTGGTTGAAGACTCTGGTGAGTATGTTCGTTTCATGTCGATTCCCTTCCGTTGTGTGTTTACAGCACTCTGGTCACCCAACAGCGTCTTGCCTTATATCTGTCAATTTTCCCTTTAGAGTTCCTCTTAGTCTTGAAAACCCACTTGCAGCCTATAGGTTTACAACCTTGTGGCTGGTTAACTAGTTTCCATACACCATTCTTCTCCATAGAACTCAGTTCAGATTTCATAGCTCCCCACCAATTTTCACTCTTCTCACTGGACATGGCTTGCTTATAGTTCATAGGATCTTCAATTGAATTCACATCATGCTCAGATTCTTGCAAATAGACATAGTAATCATCCGGCAATGCTCTTTTCCTTGGTCTTTGAGATTTTCTTAATTCTATGTCCATCTGATTATTGGTTTGTTCTGCAAGCAGATTCATATTTGTGTTTTCTGGTGGCAAATCTTGCATTTCTTGATTTTCCTGCTCAAGTATCATGTGATCTTCAACAAAACTATCTTCTTGTACAGATTGCGTGCCACTCAACTCAAAACTGGGCAGTGTAAGAATTCTGTTATCTGTATTAGAACTTACTGTTTCTGCATTTTCTGTCACTACTTCATCAAAATCAAAATTTTCTTCTTCTGTTACCTCAGTTTCAGACTCAATAAATACAGCTCTTTGTGTTTCTACGAATCTAGTTGTGTTTTGAGGGCAATAGAACCTGTAGCCTTTAGTCCTTTCTGGATAGCCAACAAAATAACCACTGGTTGTTCTTGAATCCAACTTTTTCTCCATAGGATTGTACAGTTTTGCTTCTGCCTTACACCCCCAAACTCTCAAGTGATTCAAACTTGGTTTTCTTTTCACCCACACTTCATAAGGGATAGCATTCACACTTTTAGTAGGTACCCTATTTAATATGTAGTTTGCAGTCTTTAAAGCCTCTCCCCAAAGAAATATCGGCAACTTGGAACAACACATCATACTTCTCAACATATCCTTTAGAGTTCTGTTTCTCCTTTCTGCAATTCCATTCTGTTGAGGAGTGCCTGGATTAGTATACTGTGCAATAATTCCCTCTTGTTGCAGGAACTTAGCAAAAGAACCAGGATTTCTCCCAGTTTCATCAAACCTTCCATAATACTCCCCTCCTCTGTCAGATCTAACTACTTTGATCTTTAGGTCCAACTGTTTTTCTACCTCAGCTTTATAGATTTTAAACATGTCCAATGCACTGGATTTCTCTTTAATAAGAAAAACATGTCCATATCTAGAGTAGTCATCTGTAAAGGTTATAAAATAGTTGAACCCTTCATGAGTTGGAGTTGGAAAAGGCCCACAAATGTCTATGTGTATTAGTTCTAGCAACCCTTTGCTCCCTATTGCTCCTTTCTTCCTTAAATTTGTTAGTTTTCCTTTTACACATTCAATGCATACTTCTTCTGTGTTATGATTCAATGGTGGTATGACTAATTCTTTGCATAGGATTTTAATTCTATCCTTTGAAACGTGACCAAGTCTTTTATGCCATAGAGTGTAGGAAGCTTCTTTGTTTGTTTGAGTTTCAACAGAGTTAATTTCCATGATTTTTTTGCAACTTAATCGAAACATGCCATCAACAAGATTTGCTTTTCCAACTAATTCTTTATTTCTGAAAATAGAACAACCAAAATCATCAAAGTTCAAAGTGAACTTTGACTTTACAAGCCTAGCAACTGAGATTAGGTTCTTCCTCATAGTAGGAACATAAACCACATCTTCTAATTCCAAAACAAAACCAAAAACTAATTCAATCCTAACTACTCCAATAAAATCAACTTGAACTTTCTCTCCATTGCCTACGAACACCTTCACTTCATCCTTGCTTGGCGGCCTCTTCCTTATGAACCCCTGCAAAGAATTAGTCACATGAATAGATGCTCCACTGTCTAACCACCATGAATCACAAGAAAAATCAACTAAATTTGATTCAAAACAAACTAGGATCTGATTAGTGTTACCTTTAGCCTTTTGTTTGTCCAACCACCTCTTGTACCTCCTACATTCTTTCTTCATATGTCCAGCTTTCTTGCAGAAGAAGCATTTGTTTCCAACTGGTTTTAGAGCACTTGAATTGTCCTTTTCTTTCTGTTTACTAGTTTCAGAGTTTTTGTTCCACTTATGCTGCTTTGCTTGAACCATATTTATCACCTTAGCTCCCCTTTCTCTTATCAGATTGTCCTCAATTTCGACACTTATAGTGATGAGATCATTAAGTGTCCAACTTTCTTTCTGGGCTATGTATGTATTTCGAAGGGATTTAAAATCCTTGGGCAGAGAGTTCAATGCAAAATGCACCATCATATCCTCATCTACTGTCATGTTCAGCTCTTGTAGTTTTGCCCCAATGTCAATCATGTTCATAATATGAGCTCTAACACACCCTTGCCCATCATACTTCATGTCAGTTAGTTTGTTCAGCAGTGAGCTCTTGGCAGATTTTTCAGAAACTTTGAACCTCTGAGCTATGAACTCATAATATTCCTTTGCACTTTCAGTCTTTGGAATGCTGCCTTTAACAGAAGATGCCATAGCCCTCTGCATGATTTCTGCAGAAGCATTTGTGGTAGGTACTTTGAGAGGAGTTTCTTTGAGAACATAGTCATAATCCAATAATCCTAAAGATATAGCCAGATCTTGTTTCCACTTGGAGCAGTTTGTTCCAGTCAAAGTTTCGATGGAATGATAGCTGGAGGAATTCACTGTAAATCACATTTAAATGAATAAAACTGTATTCAAACATTATCAATTCATATCTTTGGACCATGAATCAAACATGTTTTCAAAACACTAGATTATTATGGCTTAACACAACACCCTGCACACGAAAACTTTAATCTTTGGATCAAAGCTTTCCCGTTTGTTTGTGTGAAACCTTTTATCCATGTTTTCCATCACAGTTAACATCAATTCATACTATTCCTGTCTTTGGATCGAGAAGAATATAAAAGGCTATGAACTGTGATGCAAATATTGATCAATCTGTTGATTTAAATTGTATCTGCAACAGTTTAGGCTGCTATGGCTCGCCTAACTTATGCAGCTGCAATTTAAATCTATGAACAATAATCTTTCAAGTATGATCGAGTATGATACTTTATACTCTAGATCATACTTTAACAAATAAGATATGCAATTTTACTCTACATGACTAATTGATCAGAAAATTTATACAGATTTTAAAACAATACAGATTCCTTTTGAAAGTTTTAAAATCAGCAAAACAGTTGTAGATTTAAGAACAAGACCTAGTGCTCTGATACCACATGTAAGTTCTTTCTTGTCTTTGAATCTTAAATACTAACCTTGGTCTGACATGGTAGCTTAGGATTTGTATAGAAGCCTTCTTCACCTATGCAGTTCTTTATCTCTTTCTTGGATGGGGTGAGATTGCTTTTGAGAGTGTGTAACTGCTAGGGAAGGGGCTGCTATTTATATGCATTAGGTTCAAGTATTTTGCCCATCGAAGAATACCTGATCCTATCTTGATTGCATTAGGAATAAGTGTTTCAATCCATATGTGATTAGGAATTCTCAAGGTTCTAGTTATCCAATTAATATTGCACTTTAACTAGAACTGCAGATCTGCTCTAATCCTATTTCTTGACTAACACCAAAGCTGTAAACCCAATGTGATTAGAAGACCATCTATAAGTGGATTAAGACGATGCAATGTCTTACAAGCGCAGCATGGAAGAGAAATTGGCAACACGTGGAAGAGATATCGACATTGGAGTCAATACAACATAAGTGAAACCCTAAATTTTCAAACTGTGGGACTGAACTTGGGATCTCATTTTTTTTTATTATTATTTTTTTTTGGGTCAAATAACTTGGGGTGTACTTGGGCAGTGGAGTTATGAGTTTTGTGGTTCAAGAAAAGTTGCAAAATTAACCACTCTCTTGTATTTTGTATGTATTGCTTACGTACCTAGCCATTTCCCTTGCACACCCCCTCCTTCGCCCACATATTGCACGTACCTAAGCATATGCCAAATATCCATGTATATTACCCTGTGTACCAAACCCTAGTGTCCATGCTTCATAGGTGGTAACAATAATTTTTTGAAAGAATAGTAGAGTGTGACTTAAAGCTTCTCATTGATTATTTTATTCTTAAATGTGATATTCTTTAGTGAATGCCAATTACATGAGGGACACATTGTGACACGCAAATGTTTCTCCTTTATTTTAGTCTCTTCTAGCCTTTCTTGATTGATTGATAAGTCTTCCCCTCGTCTTCGTAACACCCACCCACCCCATGCTCCAAAGTAATTCTTCTGCTTTTCATTTTATGACCATATGCATATTCTTTACTGGCAAGTCTTCATATAGAATTTTATACGCCATTTCAAATTACATAACTTATTACCATGGACTATAAAGTCTTCCTTTTCTATTCCCTCAAAGACTCCCATGCGTTGGTTTTTTTTTTAACGAAAGGAATGAAACTTCATTTCCAAAACAAAGATACAAAATACAAGGGAGCCCAATAACAACAAAATAGAAAAAAGAAAACATGGGCTCAAACATAACAAAACAAAGCCCAATCTAAAATACCAAAATAGGACCCCCAAAACAACAAAAACTCACAAAATACACAAACCCTAAACAAAGCAAGTCGTTGCCACCACCAGAAAAGCTGTTGCTGCCACAAGAAGAGCAAGGTCCATGGGAACCAAGAGAGGAGATATGAAGAGTGTGGATTTGGGGGAGCAAGCCACCAAGCATCATACTCAAGCGATCTATCAAGTAGTGGTAAAAAATGACCATAGATAAACAGAGCCTACAAGCGCAGATCCAAGTCTTAGATCTGAGAAAGGGTTGTTGGAGTAAAACAGCTATAGCAATCTAGTGGCAAACCAAGTAAATTTTTGGGATAGAGGTCATTTGGGTTTGAGATTTGATGGGAGGAGAGACACGGATAGATGGAGTTGTGGAGAGGTGAGAGGAAAGGGAGATGAAGGAGAAGTGATGGGGCAAAGGGAAAGGAGTTTCAGATCTCATGCATGCCTTTCTTGGTTGGACCATCAGATTTCTAACAAGTCTTTTTGTTAGAACATGAAGCGGTATATGATATGAACTCATAGAAATCATTACGTTCATGCATTGTAGAAAATTGAGAAACCAAGTGTACGTGAAAAAGTTAGAAATGTGAAAATTTCCGCAAAGAGAAAACTAGTCATCTGCCAACTACTAATCAATCAACACCAATCTCCTGCCCATTATTAATTGGCCCAACACGAGCATGGCTTGACTCCTTAAAATTAAGGAACAACTGGGTTTTGACATTTGTCAAATTTCCTTTAACCACCAAAACTTCTAGCCCAGAGTCTAATATCAATTGTTAAGAACTCATGGGTAGAACTTGCCCTAGAAAACCAACTTATAAGGGAAGGATTCCCATGAGCTTTTAAACTACTCTAGGATATGCTATTTTTGTAATGTGGGATCTTGAGTCCTAACAGAAAATTTCTATGCAATTCAAATTCAATGGCACCCAACAATTATCCAGCAGAGAACCAAAATGCTTGACAAAATAGATCGAGAACATTTTGGAAACCTTGGCTTAGTAATTAGGTATCCTCCATTCTGGTTAGAGATGATGACCAAAGCTAACCAATGGCGAAGGCACGTAGGGACCAGAGGGGTCCCATGCCCTTTCTCAACTCTCTCTCTCTCTCTCTCTCTCTCCCCCCCCCCCCCCCCCCTTTCTTTTTTCTTCTTCCCCACCATTTCACTCTCCTTTTCTCTCTCTTTCTCTCTCTTTGTAAATGATTTAATGTTCTGTTTATGAATTGAATTGAATAGTGAAAGAGGATACAAGGGTTTTATATATACAACAATTAGAACTTGATGTGTAAAATCTGTAATTTAAATGCTTATTTCTTGATTTTTACTTTAGGGGATATTGGTTCATAAAAATTATACACAAGAAGCTCTACGATAACTTTGCAGTGTTTATGCTCTCATTCCCTTCAGTTTTATATTTTGCAACAGGCCCCCTCTAACATATGGTGGCAACGGGCCGGATAGGGGTTGGGTATGACAATACCATCCCCACCCCCCTTCCCATCACCGGCTAAGAGTTTTTGGTGGTTAGGAAAAAAAAAGGTAATTAGGAAACCCAATTCTCCAAAGAGGTAATTAGGGGGAAAAAAAAAAGCAAACAAACACAAGGAAAAAAAAAGAGAGAAGAGAAGTGAACATTGCAACTCATTCAATATATAAACATCTAAATCCAATGACAACAGAGGGTGAGTATATATTTCTTTTTTGTACTGTTAATTAGTTGAATTGATGAACTCACAAACATCAACCAATTAACTTCTATATGGCCAAAATTACTAATTCTTTTCTAAGCTGAAACATGAGGGTTTGTTGCTCTATCAGATTCAACAAAAAACCAAAATAAAAAGACGATGAAGTTTGTGAATGATAGACAGAGAGAGAAGAAGTAGGAGATAAGAAGAGGTGAGGAGAGGCTTTCCTACTTAATCTCCTTTAATGATTTGCAAGCTCATCTCCTTTTTTTATGGCATTCGTTTGTGGAAAATAGACTTTAGGGTTTGCTCTTATGATCGTGCCACGGCCGAAGTAATTCCAGCTTTCGCGTTAACCAATCGATTTCGGATGAATCCTCGTATCGAAGGTCGGAATGGAAGAAACAAGCTATTCATCTCGCCAGAAGCAAGCTGATGGGACACAACATAGCGACCAATTACCGTTGATGCAGATCCTGCTGTTTATTTTTTGTTTAGTAAGGTTTAGTAAGGCAATATAGAATAGAGTACTTAACCACGCGGTTACGCATGAGCGAAGCGAGGGCTGCTCCCAACTCCTACGGTCTTTTGTTCATGTTCCCGTATCCTCGGGCGAAAGTCCCCTAGTGGGTAGAAATTCTCGGGATCTTTCTTCTCCTGACTGGGAGTTTATGGTAGGCGCGAATTCCTTCTTTCAATGGACCTTCTCCCGGTTTTTGTTTACGAGAATAAAGATAAGTGTGTACGATACCGCTTTCAAGCTCAAGCTTCTCGGGCGGCAGAGTTCTTCCGCAAATCTATATATCTTCCTTCTGTCTGTTCATCAAAATCAATATCTGTCCGATTGCGCTGTGGATTCAAAAAATATATAAAAAAGAAACTTTTTAAACATGCTTCACTTTTCTTTTTAAAGAAGTAAAGCGGGTATCGAAGCAAGGGAAATCCAAAAACGGAGGAGACGGTTTCGAGTAATCCCATGGGTAATCAATAGACCAAAGACACTTTGTTGAAAGCCGGTCTCCAGTAGTGTTTGCACATGCATTTCCTCAACTAGAAAACTATCAATCCACTCTCATTCATGCATCAGGCTTGTGGTAGGCCTCTATGGGATCAGTTCCATTCGTAGCTAGTAGAAATGAAATTTTTTGACTCTTGCGTCTTCTATTTGTGCTTCTTCACCTTTTCACTCTTACTAAAAAAGCTAAAAGGGTGCTCTGGTTGATCCCCAAGCGTTTGATCTCGTACAGTCCGTCGCTTCTTTTGGGGTGGCAGCCAGCGCGGATACTTTTTTATTTTATAAGATAAGATCGAGTGACTTCCCCGCGTATAGTATAAAGGGAGGTAGCAATGGAATCCGGGCAGCCCCTACCAAAAAAAATGAAAGAGTGTTGTGTGAGTACCAAGAGTTGTATATCCAAGTACAGATGCTATGGAAGCAGCATAGCTAGCTAGTTTACCATAACTATTAGGGAGATTCACTAATATACCCAATATGGGGGCCTAAATTATAAAAATACCCCATATGAAATGAACTTTATAAACACACCCAAAACTTATTTACAACATAACAAAAAGGCTTTAACTTCTTATAAATTACAAAACTACCATAAATTTCTTAAAACAAGCCCAACCCCAAAATCTCATAAAAATACCCAAAACACTCAATAGGGCATTAAAGTAATTTAATAATCAATATTAAATTCAATAAGGCCAACTGTCATTTTTGGGGGTTTTTTTGGGTTTGTTTATAGAAATTCAATGATGGAGGGTTTATTTATAATATTAGTGCTAAGAATGGGTATATCACTAAATATCTCTAACTATTAAGGGTTGCTAGGTGAATCCCTAAAGTAGATTAGTTCGATCAACAACACCTGTCTCCGCAGCACCAGGACCAATACAATACCTCGTTTTTACCCAGAACCTATCTCTGCAGCATTGGAACCAAGATCGGGCTTGGCATAGTTGCAGTACGAGTTGGTTTCTTGTTTATTTATAAATTTTGAATAATGTTTATATTATATTATATATGTATTAATTTAAAATTAATCTTAT